AAAACAAACTCATAAAAATTTGGGCAAAATGTCACCGCGCAAATAAATAACTAAAATTTTTATAAGCGAGACTTACAAAACATGTTGTAATTCGGATTTAAAATACACACATAATAAACAAGAATTTTGATCTATGCATAGGTAATAACTTTTCCAGTTATTGATTTAGATCTCCTTCGAACAATCAGCGCTATCGAAATATTGAATTTGGGCAAACATCGAAGGAATTTCTATTGTCTTGTGTCGTTTCCCTTTGGCCAAATTTTTTTGGAAAGATTGGTTTTCCCTGTCGTACGAAATCATTCGTACCAAAAGAGAATAATATGAATGGAAAGTCACAGCCAAGGCTAGGTCGCTGACCTGATACAACAGTACTCACCGTAACTGCAACTGTACTCGTAGTATGTTATAATAGCGGCCGTCATCCCCGCCACAACTCTTTCAATTTCAGAAGACTGAAGAAACGATTTTTACGCTTCAGGTATCGGATCGTACGATTTGAGTAAAAAATTTACAGCTTCGTTTGTTTCAGACCACAAAGAAATTAATTACAAGCTAACTGACCAAGAGATCAATGCGACTTTTTAACCAGCGGTAACCTACAAAATCTCATTGCTCTTTTTGGTCTTGATTCTGATATTTACCGACACCTTTAAAATTTTCACTCCTTCAGTAAGCCTCATCGAAGACAATTGTAGATACTTAAGTACTTAGATTAATTATATAACTGGTCGCAGTTTATTTCGACAGAACTTCCCTGGCTCCTGAAGTACAAGTCCAACAAATCCCGCTTCGTTGAAAAATTATAACAAAGATTTTTCGACTTTTCGTGTTTTTGATTCTTTACTTATTCGATTTTTTTAAATATTGCGACTTTTTAAATCTTGCATTTTTCGATGTTTCAGTTTTTTGATTTTTCGATTTCTTGATGTTTTCATTGCTCGATTTTTTAAATTTTCAATTTTTCGAATTTTTAAATTTTAAATGTTTCACTTTTTTGTTGTTTCGAATTCTCAATCTTTCGCTTTTTTGCCCCCTCGTTTTTAGATTTTTCGATATTTCAATTTTTCGGAATTGATTTTTCAATCTTTTGATATTTCGATTTTTCAGTTTTCGATTTTTCAGTTTTCGATTTAACGTTGTCTTTCGATTTTTGGACTTCTCGTTTTTAGGTCACCACATTTTATACCAATATACGCGCACTGGTTTGTGAAGGAAAATGTTAGAATACAGTAATGTTGCGTCCGCCTATATTTAATAATGATAAAACAAAACTTACCCAAAATTATATTGAGAACATTTTACGACATTGTAACTTAATTAATAATTTTAATCGCTTCCTCTGTTTTGAGGAGACAATTTGCTGCGTGCTTAATTGTCACATTCTTAAGATGTATAAACATAAACAATTGAAGTTAATTGAAGTAATGCCGACATATTTTTCTAAATGACTTTCGACCAATTTTTTGCTTTTAAAAGAGGAAGTCTTGCAGGCGCCTAGTGTTTTTTTTTAATATAAAAAAGTCTTCAGAGTGCTTGTGTTTTGTTTTTAAACTACTTTTAAAAAATCTAGAGGATCCGTGGAGTTCTTTATTTGGAAAGAATTGTACAGAATCTTAGAGGCTCCTAGCGTCTTTTTTTAAATATATGATGTTTGGTTTTTGAAGGAGAAAACAAAATATTCTGAAAACCGTAAAATTGAAAAATCAAGAAGTTTAAAAATCTAAAAATGCAAAAATTCAGAAATTAAAATATGGAATATATGATAAATGTTAAAAAATGTAAGATTTAAAAACTCGTAAAAGTAAAAAATCAAAAAAACAGAAAATCTAAAAATCTTAAAATCGAAATCTTGAAAAATCCCAAAACTAAAATAGAGAAATCGAAAAATTGAAAAATTGAAAAATCGAAAAATTTAAATACATAAATGTCAAAACTGAAAGGAAATCGAAAAATTGAAAAATAAATTCCGAAAAATTGAAAATCAAAAAATGAGAAAGGAAAAAATCGGAAGAAATTGAAACAACAAAATAGTGAAAAATCTAAAATTTAAAAATTCGAAAATTTGAAAATTTATAAAATAGAGAAATCAAAACATCAACGAATCGAAAACTCAAAAAATTGAAAAAACGAAAAATGTAACATTTAAAAAATCGCAAAATTTTGAAAAATCGAATAAGTAAAAAATAAAAAAAAACAGAAAGTGGAACAAACTAAAGATTTGAAAATCGAAATACATATTGACAAATCCCAAAATTGAAAAATCCCGGGACTTAAAACATTGAAAGTTTTAAAATCGGAAAATTGAGAAATTGAGAAATAGGAAAGACGAAAATTCGAAAAATTTAAATACATAAATCCCAAAACTGATATACGTTGAAAAGTTGGAAATTCGAATAATCGAAAAGGCGAATAATCGATAAACTGGGAAATCGAGAAATCGAAATCGAAAAATTGAAAAAACGCGTAATCGAAACATCAAAAGATCGAAACTCGAAAAATCGAAAAATTGAGATATCGAAATAGCTGAAGATTGAAAAATGGGATAATTAAAAAAAAATTGAACTTAAAAAACGCGATAAATGGAAATATCGAAAAACTGAAAATTAATTCCGAAAAATTGAAAAATCGAAAAATCAAAAAATGAGAAGAGAAAAAATCGAAAGACTGAGAGACTAAAGCAACAAACAATTGAAAAATCAAAAATTTAAAAATTCGAATAATTGAAATTACAAAATCGAGAAATCGAAAAATCAAAAAGTTGAAAAATCGAAAAATGTAAGATTTAAAAACCGCAAAATTTTTAAAAATCCAATAAGTAAAAATTAAAAAAAAAACCGAAAGTCAAATAATCTAAAAATCTGAAAATCGAAATACATATTGAAAAATCCCAAAATTGAAAAATACCAAGCCTTAAAACACTAAAAATTTAAAAATCGAAAAATTGAGAAATCGAGAAATAGGAAAGACGAAAATTCGAAAATTCAAAAAATTAAAAAATCCATTGATCGAGAAATTGAAAAATCGAAAAATCCAAAAATTTAGGAACGCCAAAAATTGAAAAATCCAAAAATTTAAATAGATAAATCCCAAAACTGAAACGTCAAAAAATTGAGAAATCGAAATATGGATAAACTGAAAAATTAATTCCAAAAATTGAAAAATTGAAAAATCGAACGATGTAAGATTCAAAAAATCGCAAAATTTTGAAAATCGAATAAGAAAAAAATCAAATAAAAACAGGAAATCGAAAAATCTAAAGATTTAAAAATCAAAATACATAAAAAAAAATCCCAAAATTGAAAAATCCCAAAACTTAAACATTGAAAATTGAAAAATTGAGGAATCAAGAAATCGGAAAGACAAGAAATCGGAAAAACAAAAAATCGAAAAGTCGAAAAGTTAAAAAACACATTAATCGAGAAATTGAGAAAACGAACAATTCAAAAATTTAGAAACGTCAAAAATTGAAACAGTGAAAAATCGAAAAATTTAAATATGTACTTAAATGCCAAAAGTAAAACGTTGAAAAATTGGAAAATGGAAAAATCGAAAAGATGAATTATCGAACAACTGAGACATCGAAAAATAGAAACCGAAAAATTGAAAAATCGCGAAATCGAAACAAAAAATTGAAAAATTTTTACTTAAAAAAACCGATAAGCCAAAAAGTGAAAAATCTAATCATCGAATACCTGAAAAAATAATTCCGAAGAATTGAAAAGCCGGAAAATTTAAAAACGAAAATGCGAAAAATCGAAAGAAAACCGTTAAATCGAAAATTGAAAAATCGAAATATCGAAAACCTAAAAAATTAATTCCGAAAAATTGAAAAATCGAAAAATCTAAAAACAAAAGGACAAAAAATCGAAAGACTGGGAAATCAAAACAACAAAAAGTGAAAAATCTAAAATTTAAAAATTCCAAAAATTGAAAATTTTAAAAATCGAGCAACAAAACATCAAGAAATTGAAAAATCAAAAAACTCAAAAATCGAAAAATATAAGAATTAAAAAGTCGCATTATTTTGAAAAATCGAATAAGAAAAAAATCAAAAACATGAAAAGGCAGAAAATCGAAAAATTTTAAAGTCCCGAAATTGAAATAAGTAGATAGAAGATAAATAGAAGATAATTTTTGTATATTTCATTCCGAGGTTTTGTCTTGTATTTTCGAACTGTCAATATTCGTCAGTTTATTCGATTTCTCACTAAGTCAGGTTGATAAAAAAACACCACTTCCCATTTAAAAACTAGCCAGGATAAATTTACGAGTAAACATTAACTTTTGTTAAAACATAATGGTTTGTACGGATGTGACGGTTAAGTACTTGTTTAAACTCCATTAATTCACGTTTATCTTAAGAAAAGTACTTTCTGAGTTGAACATATTTTATTGTGTGATAGTACAACACAGTTTCTACCTGAAGAAGGTACTGTGTAATCAATTTCAAGCAAAGAAACTCTAGTCCTTGTCCATTTTATTCTACCTGAATGTTTAGGGAATTATGGCAACCGGAGAAGCGAGGGGTACTACTTTTGCGTGCGATACTACATACTAGTTAATCATCTAAGTAAAGAACATTGAAAATTAACAACTTAAACAATTGACGTACCCTGACTTTCAACTCAACTGAAAAAAACTGTGATATCACTCTGGATCATCTGCACTATAACAAATAGAAGTTTGAATTTGAAATTGAAGTTTTTTCTGTCTCTTCTTGTCGATTTTATTATTTAGTACTACATTTTTTCTTCATTTTATTTTGATATACTTAATTTCAGAATAAAGATAATATGGAACTTCGGGTTTGTTATTTACAAATATCTTAATATTATTAATGTGAAGTTCCACAGGTTCCAATTACAATTACTATATTTCTCGTAACCTTTGTCTTTTCTTCAGAAATACCTGATTATGTCACTTTACAGAAAGTAGTATAGACGTCATAAAAATTATATAATCAGAGAAAAGCTTAGTCCTGTCCCTCCTACTCCTACCTTTATTGTTTTCTTCACATCCTACAGCTGGCTTTCTGAAACTGATATCCTTAACGAGTCATACACGGGAGGGAACTGGTAACCTTTCGAGCTTATACAGTAAACAATGCCAACAATGAAAATAATGCGGTCATACGATGGAGGAGGATGAGGACCACTAGGTACTAGGGGTTCATCGACCCGTTCCCAATACTGGAGTTTCGGTCGTTGGTCTGACCTACCTACCAGCCCCTGCGCTATCTTTAGAACACCGAAATTTCGAAGAGTTTACTAAACGTATCGAACGCGATCGTCCACCTATAAGAGTGAAAGTACTGTCCGTTACACGAGCCGTATACGTACGGCGGTACTCACTTCTAGCACACCTACAGAGCAATGACCCCACGGAGCGTACTCCACATCTTTCGACAATGCTGTTCTGGGTCCATATTAAAACTCGACGCGCAGTGCAGTGACCTTTGATTACATCAAAAAGTACCACTGTGTTACATGAGGTGGTACCATAGGGAAGTTGCACGTGACAAAACAAGCTGTTGCTCAAACTCACTGTTAATCAAATGTTGATTTGGATTGTTAGTTATGTAAAAAAAGAGTCCGTATAATCATATTTAGGCACAACTGGAACAATGTGAAAAGTTGACTTTGGGAAAATTGTAAAAGTACTAAAGGAAAACTAGACGACTTCTTGATTGATGGAAATTAATTACATATTTTAATTACATTGTGTGGGACTGATTAGTTTCATGTTTTCTCGACGTTTCATGACTCCAAAAATACGAAACAATAGATTCCCATTTCCGTCCGTCTGTCTGTCCGTCGTCTGTGTCGATTTTTATTAGACGGATATTCTCCAAAATTGCTGGACCGATTGTTGTCAAATTTTATATGTGTGTTAGGAATTTCGTGTAGATGGTAAAACGCCCACCAAAATTTGTGTAATCATCCCCACCAACAATTTCATGACGTCATCTCCAAGGATTCTATATTAAAATAACATCAGTGTTATACAATAATATACTCCTAGACTCGTGATGTACGAATCCGAGTTGAGTTTTCCCTAAACGACCAAGTTTTCATAAAAAAATTAACAAAGTGTAATAACATTTTACAATAAAATTAGCACAGAATATAAACCTCCATAGAATAGTAGTTTATATACCAACACACGAACTTGGGGTCGCACGTTCGATAACAAGCTTGGCCGTTCCCAAGTTTAAACTAAGGAAATATTGTAAATGTTCCATCGGGCGACTGGGTACTTTCATATTTTGTTAACATGTCATGACCCCAAGAATATGAAAAAATGGGTCTCTCGTTTCCGTTTATCTGTCTGTCTGACTGCCGTCCGTCCGGATTTTTATTAGCCATATAATCTCCGAAATTAGCACACCGAGTGTTGTCAAATTTTATAGGTATGTTAGGAATATTGTGTAGATGATAAAACGCTAACCAAAATTTGTCTAATCATCCCCACCACTAATACGATGACGTCACTTCAAAATTTTTCATAATAAATACGATTTAAATTTTTGTAAAATAATATACTTCTGTACTTGTTCTTTATGTCTTCAGATTTTCCCAGAGGCAACACGCAAAAAGTGGTCCTTCGAATGCGACATTGTTTTTTTTTTTCTATTCCTATTATTATCTATATTTTTTGGAGAAAAAACCGAGTGTGTTCAATTAATTAATTAGTCCTCTCTGCCGTGTTGAGGAAGTGTACTTTGATGATACGATATAACTCACTTGAAATATATGCGTAGCATGATCCTTTTTTTAAATCCACGCGTAGGACCCTTCTTCATATTTACTTTAATACTGCAAACATATTTTTATTTTAGCTTATAGGGGTTCTCATAAAAAAATAAAATATCTTATGGAGAGTCAAGAAAAAATTTTATTTGTTTATACTCTAGGGGTCATGAAACATTTACGTAGCCAGTCGCCCTATGCACTCATATTACAATACTTCTTTAACTTACGCTCAGCAAGAAAAAATAGACGAAAATCCCATTTTAAAATAAAGAATGCGACACTTCAAAAAGTTTCGTATTCGATTTACTTATTTCCAATGGTCATTGCCTTAAATTCGCATGTTTAACTTTACCAACAGTAAAATTTGTATTTTGCCAGTTGCGTCAAACTAGCGTAGTTTTCCGCCGACAACAAATTTCAAAAATTTCTCATTAAAATGTTTATTGAAACCGCAGAATGTCAAAAATCGGTGTTTATTTTTAAACACAATATTTACTGCAATTAAGTATTTCGCAAAACTTGTTTCACCAAAATTGCGACATATTGGTAAATAAATTTTAAAAAAGCCAGACTTTGGGTATACCGATTTCGCAATATTTATAAATATGCGAGAATTCCGTCCTTGTAAAAAAAGAAGTGGTATATTGGGGCTAACAGTATTTACATTAAAAACCGCCTCCGGCAAGATAAATAAATTTATGTAACATGAAAAAGAAATGTTGGCACCACGAGGCAGCAGCCTGGAAGTCTGCCGTTCTGAGAAAATTGTGCAATTTTACAAGTATTCCAACCGAATGAATAAGGTGGGTATGCTAATAGTGGTCTCGTATTTTATAAACTTTAAAGCGAATTACCAACCGTCGTTGTCGATCGCCAAATATTGACAAACTTGTAAATTTGTGTTTGTTCAACGTATTTAAAGCTTTCACAAAAGGCCGCTAATTGTTATTTTCTACTTCCAACAGTTATGGTTAAATTTTGGAGATGTTACCAATACTACCAGTAGTACTAAAAATTTTGGCCATTTCGCAAAATACACCTTTGGGACTTTATCTTATCACCACCAGCATCCAGTATTGACCGTGGGATATCATTAATTCCATAGCATCCTTTCACGAGAATATTTTAGTCGCCAAAGTTCTTCGACATTTTATGGTTGAAAGGTAATGCTGAGAGTTCAGTCACCTCTCCCAAAAATAGTAGTGGGATCGCTTGAAAAAAAAAGTTGATTTAGTGTTGTCAGTGGGTTAGTGGACCACGATCTTGTCTATTCTACATTTCTACACATATTCTTTTAGTTTGTTTCCTCTCCAAACCACCACCGAAGCGACACACTTCTTCTACTCAGGGTGCCTCTGATCGACCGAGATAGATAGCGTTGTACACAGGTGGTCGACGTCTTTTGCAAATTTATGGAGCCGATTTGCAGAGCTAATGATGTCGCAGAGTTCGACAACGAGAAGTTTATCTCTTCTTCGTGCTTGTCTCTACACAGTTTCACATGTCAATTTGTTCCTCTTTGACGGTGAAAAACGGTTGCTATGAGGCACACTCACACGAAACTATAAAAATCGAACGAACGTGCCTTTCTATAACTCAAAATGTGAACGAGCTGACGTCAATGCTGGAGAGTTTTATTTCAAAACTTGTTTTGGTGTTGCCTGATTTTTTTCATTTAGAGTGCAGTAACACGATAGTTAAATAGAGGTATAAAAGTGGGATTAAATTATACTATTAAAAAAATAGTCAAATAGTAGCTCAAAATAAATTGACTCATTAATTTTTTTTGAGCCGCCCTGTATAATAAAATAACAAATCACAAGTACAGATTCATCATATTTTGCACATCTTATATACGATTTATTAGGAACAATGTTGAGATGAGGTCACCTATTGTTTGGCAATATCGAAGCATTCAGTTTTGCAGATTCACAATTAAAATGCAAAATGTTATTACACAGTTTTGATTTTTTTTCCAAAAATCTGGATCCCTTTGATCATAGCATAGATATATAACTTATATATCTATACTGTGCTTTGATGCACGTGTTGATACGGTATCGACATGGTAATGGTAGAATTCTTTGGAAGTATAAACAATTGAAGTTAACAAGTACTAGAAATTAAGAAAAAATTTTTTTCCGTTGGTTATCTGCTATATATTTCACATCGAATTAAAGTTCCAAATAAATTTAACAACGACCTATTCAAAGACCCAGAGAAGTTAACATTTACATAAGGTAAAACACGAAGAACTAAACCACATATGTGAAAAAAAAACGAAACAAGCGGCACTAAATGCTTCTTTCAATCAGAATAAAAATTTCATCACTAAAAATTTATGCGAAAAATTTTACTAATTAAACTATTTTTCGTGCAATTGTTAAAAATATGATTTGGATTAAATACTACTGCAGTCATTGAAAAATAAATTTTAACGGTTTTATATACAAAACGGAATTATGCAAACCGGTTGGTTTAAAAAAATTTTGAAAAATTATTTCATTCACAGTTTCTTACATACCGTTCAAGAAATAACTAGGCCGAGGATATCAATAAAGCATATTAAACATTTTTAACACATAACATTTACATATTTAAAACTGTTTATAACTTAATAATATTGTATAGTAGATGTTTAATGACATTCAATGATAATACAGTTGACTGATCTACATCATCAAGTAACTTATTCCGTTCTGTCTCTACAGTGCGTGGAATCATTAACAGTCTTCAATATGCTTATGCTGTCACTAGTTGTTTTGGCCATGGACCCTTTTCCACCTCGGGCTCTGAGGGGAATGCAAAGTGAGAGGTTAGTGTAAATCCGAGGTCTGAATATCTGCTAGTGATAAAGTCCTTTTTTTCAAAAAATAGTGTACGACAAACATCGTAACGTCAAACAAAGCCGAACTCGGCAATGTAATAATTAATTAAAAACAATTCATTCCGTGGATGTGCATTTGTTTACTTATGCTAATTCAACAAAACTAATTAAAATTAATTAGGTATGCAATTTGAATGCATCATTTAGTGAAAGCTCCGGGGATACCCAGCAGGCAACTTGACACACTACGACCTTGTAGTTCAACGAACTCACCTAGACCAATCAGCTAAGGAGCAAAAATGTCAAGGAAATTGGGAAAATTTCAAATTCTTACCGGAGGAAAAAATCTTCCAGTTTTAAAAATGAACGTATTTGGTACGAACAACAACATTCGAGACATACAAAATGAGATCGTTGACCTCTGCAATATTGCGAGAATTAATTCAGCTCTGGGTTTATGCCAAGGGATGATTATATGCGTTTCACAGACTATACACTTGTGTGTTCTGTGGTATACTTACATTGTAGTTTCCCATCTTTAAGTAAAAAAAGGACAGTCGGTGGTAAAAATAGTCGACGGGCGTGACGGTCCAGGGGTTGTGTGCTCGTCAGGCAGGATCGTACCCAAATTAACTGGGTTAACATTATCATAATACG